AAAGAATAGCAAGGAGAGATAAGAAAGCCTTCCTCAGTGATCAATGCAAAGAAATAGAGGAAAACAACAGAATGGGAAAGACTAGAGATCTCTTCAAGAAAATTAGAGGTACCAAGGGAACATTTCATGGAAAGATGGGCACAATAAAGGACAGAAATGGTATGGACCTAACAGAAGCAGAAATTATTAAGAAGAGGTAGCAACAATACACAGAAGAACTATATAAAAAAGATCTTCATGACCCAGATAACCGTGATGGTGTGATCACTCACTGAGAGCAGGACATCCTGGAATGCAAAGTCAAGTGAGCTTTAGAAAGTATCACCATGAACAAAGCTAGTGGAGGTGATGAAATCCCAATTGAGCTCTTTCAAATCCTAAAATATGATGCTGTGAAAGTGCTGCATTCAATATGCCAGCAAATTTGGAAAACTCAGCAGTGGCCACAGGACTGGAAAAGGTCAGTTTTCATTCCAGTCCCAAAGAAGGGCAAAGCCAAAGAATGTTCAAACTACCACACAATTGCACTCATCTCTACAATTGCACTCATCTCACATGCTAGCAAAGTAATGCTCAAAATTCTCCAAGCCAGGCTTCAACAGTATGTGAATTGTGAACTTCCAGATGTTCAAGCTGGATTTAGAAAAGGCAGAGAAACCTGAGATCAAATTGCCAACATTCATGGGATCATAGAAAAAGCAAGAGAGTTCCAGAAAAACATCTACTTCTGCCATATTGACTACTTCAAAGCCTTTGACTGTGTGGATCACAACAAACAGTGGAAAATTCTTTAAGAGATGAAAACACCAGACCACCTGACCTGCCTCCTGAGAAATCTGTATGCAGGTCAAGAAGCAACAGAAATGGACATGGAGGAAGAGACTGGTTCCAAATTGGGAAAGGAGTACATCAAGGCTGTATATTGTCATCCTGCTTATTTAACTTATAATGCAGAGTAGATCATGTGAAATGCCGGGCTGGATGAAACACAAGCTGGAATTAAGATTGCTGGGGGAAATATCAATAACCTTAGATATGTAGATGACACCACCCTTATGGCAGAATGCAAAGAAGAACTAAAGAGCCTCTTGATGAAAGTGAAAGAGGAGAGTAAAAAATTTGGCTTAAAGCTCAATGTTCAGAAAAATAAGATCACGGCATCCAGTCCCAGCACTTCATGGCAAATAGATGGGAAAACAATGTAAACAGCGAGAGACTTTATTTTGGGGGGCTCTAAAATCACTGCAGATGGTGACTGCAGCCATGAAATTAAAAGACGATTGCTCCTTGAAAGAAAAGCTATGACCAACCTAAACAGCATATTAAAAAACAGAGACACAAATTCCATCTAGTCAAAGCTATGGATTTTTCCAGTAGTCATGTATGGATGTGAGAGTTGGACTATAAAGAAAGCTGAGTGCCAAAGAATTGATGCTTCTGAACTGTGGTGTTAGAGAAGACTCTTGAGAGTCCCTTGGACTGCAAGGAGATCCAACTAGTCCATCCTAAAGGAAATCAGTCCTGAATATTCATTGTAAGGACTGATGCTGAAGCTGAAACTCCAATACTTTGGCCACCTCATGCGAAGAGTTGACTCATTGGAAAAGACCCTGATCCTTGGAGGGATTGGGGGCAGGAGGGTAGGGGAAGACAGAGGATGAGATGGTTGGATGGCATCACCAACTTGATGCACATGAGTTTGAGTAAGCTCCAGGAGTTGGTGATGGACAGGGAAGCCTAGTGTGCTGCAGTTCATGGAGACGCAAAAAGTTGGGCATGACTGGGTGACTGAACTGAATTGAACTGATACAATAGAACCTTGTTGTTTATACATTCTATATACAATTGCTTACATCCGCTAGTCTCAAACTTCCAATCCAACCTCCCCGCCCAACCCCCTCCTTGTTCATTTTTCAGTCGCTAAGTTGTGTCTGACTCTTTGTGAAACTATGGACTGCAGCCCATCAGGCTTCCTCGTCCTTCACTATCTCCCAGAGTTTGGTCAAATGAATATCCATTGAGTCGATGATGCCATCCAACTATCTTATCCTCGGTTGTACCCTTCTCTTCCTGCCTTCAATCTTTCCCAGCATCAGGGTCTTTTCCAGTGAGTCGGCTCTTCCCATCAGGTGGCCAAAGTATTGGATCTTCAGCATCAGTCCTTCCAATGAATATTCAGGATTGATTTCCTTTAGGATTGACTGGTTTGATTTCCCTGCTGTCCAAGGGACTCTAAAGAGTCTTTGCCAGCATCACAGTTGGAAAGCATCAAGTTTTCAGTGCTCAGCCTTCCTTATGGTGCAACTCTCACATCCATACATGACCACTGGAAAAACCATAGCCTTGACTAGATGGACCTTTGTTGGCAAAGTGATGTCTCTGCTTTTTAATACACTTGTCTAGGTTTGTTGTAGCTTTCCATCCAAGGAGCAAGTGTCTTTGAATTTCATGGCTGCAGTCACCATCTGCAGTGATTTCGGAGCCCAAGAAAATAAAATCTGTCACTATTTCCATTGTTTCCCCATCTATTTGCCATGAAATGATGGGACCAGATGCCATGACGTTAGTTTTTTGAATGTTGAGTTTTAAGCTAGCTTTTTCACTCTCTTCTTTCACCCTCAAGAGGCTCTTTAATTCCTCTTTGCTTTCTGTCATTAAAGTGGTATCATCAACATATCTGAGGTTGTTGACATTTCTCCCTGTAACTTGATTCCAGCTTGGGATTCATTCAGCCTGGCAGTTCGCGTGATGTACTTTGCATGTAAGTTAAATAAGCAGGGTGACAATATACAGCCTTGATACAAACTGCTTTCCCAATTTTGAACCAGTCCATTGTTCCATGTACAGTTCTAACTGGTTTCTTGATCTGCATACAGGTTTCTCAGGAGGCAGGTAAGGTAGTCTGGTATTCCCATCTCTTTCATTATTTTCCAGTTTATTGTGATCCACATAGTCAAAGGCTTTAGTGTAGTTAATAAAGCAGAAGTAGATGTTTTTCTGGAACTCTTGCTTTTTCTATGATCCAACAGATGTTGGCAATTTGATCTCTGCTTCCTCTGCCTTTTCTAAATCCAGCTTGAACATCTGGAAGTTCTTGGTTCACATACTGTTGAAGTCTAGCTTGAAGGATTTTGAGCATTACCTTGTTAGCATGTGAAATGAGCTCAACTGTCAGATAGTTTGAACATTCTTTGGCATTGCCCTTCTTTGGGACTGGAATGAAAACTGACCTTTTCTAGTCCTGTGGTCACTGTTGAGTTTTCCATATTTTCTGACATAGTGAGTGCAGCACTTTAAGAGCATCATCTTTTTGGATTTGAAATAGCTCAAGTCAAACTCCATCACCTCCACTAGCTTTGTTCATAGTGATGCTTCGTCACCTCCACTAGCTTTGTTCGTAGTAATGCTTCCTAAGGCCCATTTGACTTCCACTCCAGGATGTCTGGCTCTAGGTGAGTGACCAAACCATCATAGCTATCTGGGTAATTAAGACCTTTTTTGTAGTTTTTCTTGTATTCTTGTTACCTCTTCTTAATCTCTTCTGGTTCTGTTAGATCCATACTGCTTCTGTCCTTTGTTGTGCCCATGCTTGCATAAAATGTTCCCTTGGAATCTCTAATTTTCTTGAAGAGATCTCTAGTCTTTGCATTGTTCACTTATAAAGCCTTTTTAAAAAAAATCTATCCTTGCTATTCTGTGGAACTCTGCATTCAGTTGGGTGTATCTTTCCCTTTCTCCTGTGCCTTTCATTTCTCTTTTCTCAGCTATTGGTAAGGCCTCCTCACACAACCACTTTGCCTTCTTGCATTTCTTTTTATTGGGGATGGTTTGGATCACTGCCTCCTGTATACTGGTATACAGGAACTAAGAACCTCTGTCCATAGTTCAGGCACTCTGTCTACCAGATCTAATCCCTTGAAATCTATTTGTCACCTCCACTGTATAAGGGGTTTGATTTAGGTCATATCTAAATGCCCTAGTGGTTTTCCTTACTTTCTTCAATTTAAACAAAATGACTCAGTTACATACATACATACTTTTTTTTGGTATTCTTTTCCATTATTGTCATAGGATATTGAATATAGTTCCCTGTGTTATACATTAGGACATTGTTCTTTTATTTTAAACATAATAGCTTGCATGTACCAACCCCAAACTCCCAGTCCATCCCTCCCATCTGCCAACACTTGGCAACCACAAGTCTGTTCTCTATGTCCGAGTCTGTTCTGTTTTGTAGGTAGATTTGTGTCATATTTTAAGACTCCACATATAAGTGATATCATATGCTATTTGTTTTTCTCTTTCTGACTTACTTCATTTAGTATTGATAATCTCCATTTGCATCCATGTTGTTGTAAATGGCATTATTTCATTCTTTGTTATGGCCAAGTAGTATTTCATTATATATGTATGTGTGCCACATCTTCTTTACCCATTCATCTGCTGATGGATATTTATGTTATTTCCATGTTTTAGCTATTGTGAATAGTGCTGTTATGAACATAGGAGTGCACATATCTTTGTGAATTATAGTTTTGTCCAGGATTATATTCCCAGGAGTGAATCTGCCGGATCATATGGTAATTGTTTTTAGCTTTCTGAGGAACCTCCATACTGTCTTCCATGGTGGCTGCACCAACTTGCATTCCCACCAGCAGTGTAGGAGGGTTCCTTTTTCTCCATACCCTCTCCAAGCATTTATTTGTAGACTTTGAAATGATGGTCATCCTGACCCTAAGTCAATTTAAATATAAAGTTAACTAGAAAGAGACCACCTCCTTTTGTCTTTCATGTATTTATAAAATTTCTGAATGTTAACTATTTAGAGTATGACTTCTCCATTTCTAAGCTGACAGTGACATTTTTCTCCTATCGTAACATCGTAATTAGCCTTGTCTTTGCATAAAGGTCTCTTCTGAAGGCCTGAGTTCCAGCCACTTTGACAGATATAGTTCTATGAATTGAATGTCTCCCACAAAATCCAATGCTGAAGCCCTAATCCCCAATGTAATGGTATGTTTTAAAAACTTTTATTTTATATTGGAGTATAGTTAATACTGTTAAAGTTTCAGGTGTACACCAAATAATTCAGCCATACATTATATATATATATATATATATATATATATTCTTTTTCAAATTCTTTTCCCATTTAGGTTGCTATAGCAGAGTTCCCTGTGCTATATATAGTAGGTCTTGTTGGTTGTCTGTTATATAATTTTTTAAAACTTCAAAAAAGTTTATTGTACTATAATTGCTTTACAGTGTTCATGTCTGCTGTGCAGCAAAGTCAATCAGTTCCCATGTACACGCATGTCCGCTTCCTTTTCGATTTCTTTCCCGTTTAGGTCACCACAGGGCACTGAGTTGACTGTGCTATCCAGTCGACTCTCATTAGTTATCTATTTTATACGTAGTGGTCTGTATCTGTGACCCTGTTTCTCCTTTGCAAATAAGTTCTTCTGTACCATTTTTCTAGATTCCATATACATAAGGCGATATTGTACTGTATTTTTCTCTTACTTCACTGTATGAGTTCCGTTTTCTCCACACTGTCTCCAACATTTATTATTTGTAGACTTTTTGATGATGGCCATTCTAACTGGTGTGAGGTGATATCTCATTGTAGTTTTGATTTGCATTTCTCTAACAATAATGATGTTGAGTATCTTTTCATGTGCATGTTTTCTTTGAAGAAATAATCTATTTAGGTCTTCTGTCCACTTTTTGATTGGGCTTTGATGTTGAGCTGCAAGAGCTGTTTATAAAATTTGGAAATTAATCCCTTGTCAGTCACATCATTTGTAAATATTTTCTCCCATTCTGTGGGTTATCTTTTCTTTTTAAAAATCATTTGCTTTGCTGCACATAAAGGCTTTTGAGTTTAACTAGGTCCCATTTGTTTAACTTCATTTTTATTTCCATTGCTCTGGGAGAAGAACTGAAAAAGGTATTGTGTGATTTATGTCAAAAAGTGTTCTGCCTATGTTTTCCTCTAAGAGTTTTAATAGTATCAGGTTTTACATTTAGGTCTTGAATCCATTTTGAGTTTATTTTTGTGTATGGTGTTGAAGAATGTTCTAATTTGATTCTTTTACATATAGCTGTTCAATTTTCCCAGCACAGTTTATTGAAGAAAATGTCTTTTCCCCAATGTTATGGCATTTGGAGGTACAGTTTTTGGGAGGTAACTGGGTTTGGATGATGTCATGGGGTTGAGCCCCATGATGAGATTACTGCCTTTAAAGGGGGATGAAGGGACCAGAGTTTGCTCTCTGCTCCCCATATGAGGATACATGGCTCTCTGCAAATCAGGAAGAAAGTTCTTACCAGACACTAGATCTGTTGGTAACTTGATCTTAGAATTCCCAGCATTCAGAATTGTGAGAAATACCTGTTTGTTGTATAAGCTACCCAGCCTATGGTAATTTATTATACCAGCTCAAACATACTTTAAATTTATACCCCAGGAATATGTCAATCATCTACATCACCTACAGTTATTTTTCTGGACCTTTGCTTTGGTGTGATGGACTGGCTCATGGTGGGTGGGGGTGCAGAAAGAAACAGTTCCCTAAATCTTGTTTTATCCATTATCAGGATGCTGTCTGTAACACTGAAGATTCCTCTTGGTGAGGCTCATTAAGAGGAAAAGCTCTCTGGCCTTTATAATAGAACAACTGTCTCCTCTGGAGAGACTGGTTTGCTTTTTATCTTATGGCTGTCCTGAGATACATGACTGATCAGTGTTCATTTTTAGTGCTGCATTTCACACAGGAAGGTGAGTACCATATTTAACACTTACTTTTACATAATATTTAGAAGTGTACAGGATAAATGTTTTGTATTCATCTGCTCCAGATGTTAATGTTTGACTTTGCCATTATATAAAGGAGATATAAATGATAAAATGTACACAGGTGTGCCAGAGGGAGAAGGGACATTAAAGTGGCTTTAAATCTAGAGGCAACACAGGAAACAAACTATGGAAAGGTAATTTTACAATTAAAATGAATACAAGTAGGAGATTCATGAACCGATCAAATAAGACATATATTCTTAAACTTTCACTAGTTTCAATCCTAATACATTGGTTATTATATTTTAACATTATATTCAGAGCTTTCCTTCCTTCCAAAGTACTTTCATTCTCATTTGTAAAACATAACAGATGTTCTACAGTGTTAAAATTTATTTCTGAAATGCTTTATTTTTTTAATCAGTATACATTATATTAAGTATAGAATTTACTTAAAAATTAACAAATACCTCTAAGTTTCACCGTTAGGACATTGATATGGAGAAGGAAATATCTGGCTCTTTTGACTTTTTACATTTATTCAAGTTCTAAATAGATTCTCATGTTACGGTTCTTCTGTGCTATTTTTGTCCAAGTTGTGACAGCTAAAACAGAAGATAAATCATAAATATTACTTTTTTAATCACAAAAGAAACTTCGGTATTAATCATATTTGTAATCACCTTAAATGCACACTTTTATCATGGTAAAATTTAGGCTATTTCATGCATTGTATTGTATTTTAGAATAATACATTTTTACTCAATATTCACTAACTCAAATGTTTCAGATTTATAGATATTTAAAAACTGTTATGGTGAAAAGATATGTAAACATTATATAGGAGCAAATTCAAGTAATAGAAAACAAAAACAATTAAAAAATAACTCAGTATGAAAATATAAAGAAAACATCATGTGTGACTTCACTGATGACAATTCACTTTTCTATATATTTCAATATGTTTGTAAAAGAAACTAGAAGTGTACTAAATATATTTCTAAAGATCATTAAAAGGAAGGGAAAAGGATTTCAATTCTGGAAGGCTGGGGTAAACTCCTATTGGACCAAGTCTCTCAGAGAAATTACACATTTTAAACAAAACCAACTTCCTATAGGCAATGGGGAACGATGGAAAGAAGGTGAGTTCTGGAATAGAATCAACATTTGGAAGGAAGGAATAATACAGGCTGAGTTCTCTGGTTCTGTGGCTCTAAGCCTGAAGGCAGGCCACAGTTGGTACTATACTAGCTGCTAAAATGGATAGAAAAACATAAGTCTTTCTGGCTTGAAAAACCAGAGAGGAAAGGGTTTGGGGGCAACTAAAGCTACTGGAAAGTGAGGGAGCCCCTAAGTCTGTATATAGACTTTTCCTATATCTATGGTAAAACCCTGAACCACTTATGAATGAGAGAGACTTGAGATTTGAGCTGTTGCCAAAGAGACAGAACCTTGAGTCTAGAGAAACAATTCAGTTTCTAAAATATAACAATGTAAAGGATATAGAATAAAATTAGTAAATATGAAAAAACAGGAAACCAGGGACCCAGTCTCTAGCAGGGAAGACAATGGAGACCAATAGTGAGTTGATGCATAGATGGTAATTAATAGCCAGGTTTTAAAAGCAGCTAAGACAATATCCTCAAAGAAATAGTGAAAAATAGGCTCACAATGAAAGAAAAAAGGAAATCTCAGCATAAAAGTGGAAACTGTAACAGATACACTAAATTATTGAAAATCAATTATTTTGTGTGTGTGTATATATATATGTGTGTGTGTGTGTGTGTGTGTATATATGAAATTAAGAGAACTCATTGACAGCATACCTGAGCTACAGTGACTACTAGAAAGTTTTTCAGTCAACAGAAATCAAAATCTGTAAGTGGGGATAAAGAGCACTGGAATTCATATCCATATAAATGCAAAAGATTTATGTCTTTATTCTACACATGACTGTTTAAAGCACAAACACTGTCCACTGTTTTGTAAAATTAATGATGTATGTAAAATATGACAACTGCAGCATAAATGTTGATCTATGTGGTTGCAAGGCTTCCACATTTAATACAAGTGGCATAATAACTGGTCTATTAACAGTTAAAGGAATATATAATGTGATTTCTAGAGCAACCCTAAGTTAATAATGCAGAGATGAATTAAAGTGGAATTCTAGAAAGTGTTCAAGTCTTACAAAGAAAGGAGAAACAGAGAAAACAGTAAAATGGTAGGCCTAAATCCAATCACAGTAATAATTACATTAGATGTTACAGACCAACACACTCTAATTAAAAGAGTGTCAGAATGGCTTTTGAAAAAAAAAAAAATACTGTGGGTTTTACAGAAAAAACTGACAAGATCCAACAATATTCTAAGATATATAGATCTTGATATATATATACACACACATATAAGATATAGGCTTTAAGTATAACATGCTTGATATATAAGATAGAGGCTTTAAATTCACAGACAAGTTGAAAGTAAACAGATGGAAAAGTTATAAGATGCAAACAGTAGTATAGGAAGGCTAGGGTGCCTTTATTAGTATCAGATAAAGTAGATTTCAAGACAAAGAGCATTACTAGACATGTAGAAGAATATGGGCATAATGATAAAACAGCCCACTCCTCAGAATATACAACCATCAAAACTCTGTATGTACCTAATAACAGAACTTAAAACCAAACATTGACAGAACTAAAGGAAGAGACAATTCCACAATCACAGATGGAGATTTTTGATACATGATAGAACTAGACAGAAAAAAAATCAATAGATATAGAGGATCTAATTAATGCTATCAACTACTTTGACCAAATTAATATTTACAGCTCTTCCTTCAAGTTCTTCATATGGAGTGTTTAGCAAGAAATACTATATGTTGGTTTAGAAAAGGAATTTAAATTTTCAAACAATGAACTTACATGTAAAATGTTCTATGACAACCAAGGAATTAAATTAGAAATCAATTAAATTAGAAATCAATAAGTTATCTAGAAAAACCACAAATAATTCAAACAACAATAGATCTCTCTACAGTAGCTAAAGAATAAACCACCAGGTAAGTTAAAAATATTTCAAATGATAATACAAATATATCAACATTTGTGAAATGTGTCTAAAGCAGTGTTTGGGAAGAGTTTAAGCTTTATGGCTTTCAAAGCTCATTTTAGAAACGAAAAACTAAAGTTAATGATTGAATAATTATCCAATATCAGACAGTAAAAGAAGAATAAGATAAACCCAAAGTAATCAAATAAAAAGTAGAAACCAACGAATAGAAAACTAATAGAGAAAATTAGCATTAACACCATCAAGTTCATTGAAAGAATTAACAAAATTCATAATCTTCTAGTTAACCTAACCAAGAAAAGTTCCATTTGTGATGTTATAGAATACGTAAGACTAATCTATGGTGGGAAAACATCAAGACAGTGTTTTGGGAGCAAGCACTGACTGACAAATGCCATAAAGGAACTGTGTAAACTTCTGTACCTTGATATAGGTTTGGGTTACTCAGGTGAACAATACATCTGACAAAGGCAGTCATGTACACTTAAGATATGTGTATTTCACAGCTATAAATTTTACTTCCAGAGAGTAATACAACAACAACTAAACAAATAATATCTAGTGAATGACATTGGCACTTATGTATTAAGGGGGAAGTGTACTGATATCTGTAATTTACTCTGAAATTAAGCTGGAGCAATGAACAGAATGGAAAGATGCACAGGTGCTTATAAAGCAAGTGCAATAAAACGTTAGTGGGGAATGTAAATGTATTCACTGTAAGTTCTCTCCAGTTTTTCTGTATATCTGAAATTCTCATAATACCAGTGGGCTACAACATTAAGGTTAAGAATAAAAGAACCATATTATAGTGGGTAAGAAAGTTGTGCTGGAAAAGGTGCTAGGAAGAGATGCTAAAAATGAGCAGAGGGTACAGTTATGATTTTTATGATAGCCAAGGCAAAGGTGAGTACATATTACTGGTCGGCCTACTAAGCCTCTGAGGCAGTTTAAGCTTTAAAAAGCTGAAGTTAATGTAAGTACTGAGAACATTAGTGGGAATAATAGTAAAATAATGTAAAGACCTTCTACGCCTCAGCTATTACCATCACTGACTTTCAAGGTGAATGACATTCTGTTGTATCAATCCCTCAAGAAACTTAATTTCTCAGTCCAATTTGTGATACGCTTGGCAAAGTCAGAAATATGGACAGTATGTCAAGGAAATGCTGGACTGAATTTTGCCTAAGCGAGTACCCTACTCCATTTAAAAGTTTTCAGAATTAAATTTACCTTTTCATAGATTTGGGATAATGGAAATAACATTATATACAAGAGTTTCCCTTATAGTTGTCCATAGCAAAACCTTACATTCTTCTAGTTCTGTGGCTTTTAGTTTCAGCTGGTTCAGATGAATAGGATTATCTTGCTCTCTTTTGAAAAATATCAACAGCAACTTAAGGTATGTTAAAGAAACAAACTAAAAAGTACACTTTACCTGTTTTATGAACTGTGTAGCATTAAAAAGTTCACTGCAGCCATATAAAATATGTTTGCCTTGTTTCCCCTATAAAAAATCAAACACAGAACTCAGATACAAATAGCAAGTAATATTTTCAATATTCCCAAGAAGAGGGGTTAAACATAACAAGACTTTTTGTTATTTTTAAAGGTTTTATTTTCCTTTAGGGTGAGTACTGGATTTTAGTGTACACCTATCTATCCTAAAATTACATGGAATAAAGTAGTGAAATGGGCACATTTTTTCCATTCAAAATACGTGTTAGGCATGTTTCTAGTGCCATTTACACTGAAAATAGAAGGAATGTGATGAGTGACCCATTTCATGGGAGCAATAATTATAAAATCTTCAGCCAACATTCTTGTAGGACTGTAACTATGAATTTCATCCTTAATCTTGACAGAATGTTGGCACCCAGTTACAAGCAGTCAAAACTTTTTGACTGGAGGATTTGGTAAGTTCTTAATGCTGAAATTCTTATATGTATTGTGAACTGGAAGGTAAATCTGTAAGTTTTCTTTTGTAATGTACAAACCAAATGTGGTTAATCAAGGAACCAAAAGAATTACGGCTTTGCAACACAAGAGAAGGACATCTGTTTGTGATGTATGAGCTGAGTAAACATTGCTGGCTGACATTCTCTGAGAACAAGTAAAACAAAAGTCACACCTCACCTTTTCTTCAAAATGAGATGGTATGTGTAGCCATTAAATAGGGCCATGTAATTGGGATTCTTGAGGCTATGCTCACATGAGGTAGGAATACACAGGGAAACATTAGAGGGGTCCAAAACTTCCAGTTCCCAGAACCTCAGCTCAGTAATGTAAGACACATTTCGTTTTTAGTTGTGAACCACCAGAATACCCTGGTGTCAGGGGAGCCCCAGTCTTCTCCAAGGAGGGACCTTTTATTCCTCTGGTCACACAGCTACAGGCAGGCTGCATGACCAGGCTCAATAGCAGAAACAAGAAAACATGATCGCAACCAAGTGAAATCATCAATCTACGTTTTCCATTAAAGAACACTGACAAACTAGTACAAGTTGCCCCCCTGGTCTATCTTGGACTCTAGCACATGCCTATTTTAATCACTAGTTAAAACATTTCATTCAGGGTTGGCCAAACATCAGCACGAGGGTATCATTAACTGAGATTAATCTTGTGCTTATATAAGTACATTCCCTCTCCATCCTTGATCAAGCTTTCTTAATTGTAATTATTTGTCACCATTTTTCATCCTTTACAGAATATAAAAACAAAGATAAACACAAAACTCTAATCATCTGTGTCATCTAATGAGGTATAGTTATAATTTTTAACACTGCAGTTTAGTAATATTTCAGTGTAAAACATTCTTAAAACTATGTACAGATTTGATATTTCTTCTTTCCATTAAAAACTGAACTTTATGAATGTACCAATAACTTGATTCAATGCAACAATTAACTAAATCTAGCTTATTCCCTAGCCAATCACCTTCCAACAAAAGAACAATTGGTCACTGATATCAGTATTATCAAACATCTTGTTAAAATCAGTCCAATTAATTTTATCAAATACATTAATGTTATACCAAATAGCAGTTACATTATAAGTCAGACTAACATCATTACCAGATAAATCAGCTAGAATTCTTATAGTATTTTCTTTGCCTTCCCAACAAAAATGGCACTTGCTCATTTTGTGAATTGGTATAAATCAAGTGCCATATTAGGTAATTCTCAATTACAAGTCTCTCAGAGCCATTGGCATAAGTTTTGTTTCATACTACAAGGTTGCATTACATGGGTTTCTAATGTCATGAGGTAGGCTGTCACAGACCTACTAGCTCAGTTTCCCCTAAATGGGGCTGAAATGATAGATGAACATTATGCAGAACAAAGGAAACAGTAATAAGACCAAATGGGATTAAAAAACAGAATCCTCATGATAATTAGACTGTATGGCTTTGTAGCTACTAAACATTAATGGCTCTATTAAAAACCCATTGGTAACCTCAAACTGAACAGTGAAAGATAGGATGCTTTGCCCCCTAAAATCAGGAAGAAGATAAACAGGTCTGTTGTGGACTCTTCTATTGTTATTAGAAGTTCTAGCCAGGGTGGTTAAGCAAGAAAAAGGAATAAAACATCCTGAAAGGATAAGGAAGAAGCTTATTCACAGATAACATGATATTGTTTATAGAAAATCTTAAAAATCCATTAAAAAAGCTATCAGAAATAATAAATGGGTTCAATAGGGTTGCAGGACATAAGATCAATATACAAAAACGAATCAGATTTCTATACAATTACAATGAACAATCCAAAAATGAAATGAAGACAATTCCTCTGAATCTGTTTGGACTGTTTCTTCTTTTCACCTGTGTGTAAGCTGGGATTAATGGTTCCTGCATCCACACCTGTACTAACTAGTGGATAACAGTCCTATAAACTCACTACTTCCTGTGTCTGGGAATGAAGAAAGGGAAGTACAGCAGTCATACTGCTGCCACTATGGACTGGAGTCACGCTGAATCTGATGGTCTTCTAAACCCAGGGCCAAATTTGGGTAAGAATTACTGACACACGGAAAGATGGAGAAGTTCTGATCCTCAGAAATGGAGCCAATAGGTAAATATTACTAATAAAAAAAGGCTAACATTATCATGGTACCCTGCAAGAGGTTGGAAGCAAAGGAATAATACTCTTAGCTATATTTACAGATGCCCACAACACCTGCAGAAACAGCCTCCTTTATTTGAAGCTGAAGGTCCAAAATGGCTTCTGGGAGGTTTATGAAAGATTTAATCTGGACTTACTCATGTGCTATATCTTGATGTTAGCAACATCTAGGGGATAAACACCCAGAATAATTCTAATACTTTTTTTTTGTTTTACATATTCTCATTTTACAGGTTTTATATATTCCAGAGGACCCCTTCTGGGAGGCAAAATTAGGATATTGTTGCTGCTCAAATGTGTATAGAAGAATCTGTTCAACACAAGAGCCAAAGACCACTGTGTAAATATGAACCCACATGATCATCTGTTAAGAATAATACCTGAGATAGAGACATAAAACACCTGTTAACATGGCTGATCGGTCACAGTATCATGTGCCCTACTATCTGTACACCATGTTTTGGTGAATGGAAGGCAATAACAAGTTAAAAAAAAATTTTTTTGTAAACTGAAACCAAGTAAAGGATAACTGGATAACTTGGTGGGCTTACATATCTACCACTGATAACCCTGAAGTTCTTCCGATCCAGGTGACTGATTGGAGAAAGAACTAAATTCACAATTAATTGTTACGCGTTATGAGGTTTATGCATGATTAAAAACAAGTTTACACTGAACAGTTTGGTAAACTGCCAAGTTTCTTTTAAAGTTACACCTGAATTTCAGTCACTACACTACACAAATGATTAGTATTTTGGTTTTATCCCTGTTTTTCTGGTCTGTAATATGTTAAAAAAAAAAAAAAAGCAGAAGGAATGCTGACAAATGTAAATAAGAAAAGTTACCCAAGGATGGGATTTAAGTACAGGATTAATTTCAGCTGGTCTGTTGCAACCCTGTGTTTACTCTTAGATACATACCTGGAACCAATCATGTTGTTGACCCATGGCCAAATCTAAATGAAACAGATTAATATATTCTGCCCAAGGGTCACAGATAGATAGACCAGGGGACAACTTGCACTACCAGCTTGTCAGCACTGTTTATAGAAATTTTACAGATTCATGGGTTTTACACCTGGTTTCCGTTATATTCCCTTGCTTTTTGCCTTTGAGCCTGGTCATGGAGCCTGATTCTGGCTATATGAACAGATAAGGGTATAAAAGACATCTCTTTGTATAAGATAGATACTCCTCTGAAACCAAGGTTTTGTACGCAGATCTGAGTGGTGGTCCACATTCTGAAGCATGTTCTATGTGACTGAGGTAGGATCCCTGGAGGTACCTGATGATTTTGAAGTTCTGTGACATCCACCTGTTTATTTTATTCTCCTGCTGTACAAAAACCTCAATATTTATTGATGTCTTATGTAACACAGGACAAGGAATAATCATTAAGTGAATAAATGAAGGTTATAAAATGTCACTGTAACAATCACTAGGTCAGATGCCTCTACATTTTAAATGGCATTTTTGCTCTTCCAGTTACACCTTTCCCTTCATGTTCTTTTGCTTAGTTGTCTGTCACTCCCTGCTGCTGTTAGCTTTGAACAGCACACCACTTCTAAAGTGCTACCTCTAAAGTGCCTATTTGCTGAAAAAGCAATGGAGTTCAGTAAATCATTTCACCAAGGGAGACTTTTTTGGGATAGGAGCTTATTTGGGGGTGTCTAAACATTTAAAGTCAAATTAAGATAGATAGCTGCATAGTACATTACATCAAGAAGATACATTATTTTCCAGATCAAGTAAAATTTTAGGCCAAAAATGAATGTGACATGGAAAAATGCTCATATATTCATTGTTTTCTTATCTGCCAGATTTTTAAACTACCTCTAGGAAAGGGGTTATTTAAGAATCAGGAAAGCCATCAGAGACTGCTAATATGTTAAAGACATGGAACTGTGAAACCTTGAATGATAAAAGAATATGAACATCAAATGTACCTTTATGTAGTCAACCAGATTTTGATATTCAATGTAGTTGCCTCCTCCCACCACAAAAACAATTGCCTAAAAATACAAATAGAAGAAAATAGATAAGTTTAAGAGAAACAGAACCATATTTTAACTCTCAAGCAACATGGCTTTTAGTCTGGAGCCTATTCCACAACTTTTGCTAGTTAGTATTTTTTTTTAACCTAAGTGCCTGATGCTCCTTCAATGATAGAGAAATTTATTTTTTTTTAAAGTCTAAAAATTTCTAATGTCTACTGGGTATTAAAATGAAGTAGAGATTTTTCAGAAACAATTATGAGGAAAATAAACCTCATCTTTCAATTAAACAATACCAAATAAATCCAAAGGGCTTTTTCTAAAAGTCATCTTTGAATTTAGTGTTATTTATAATGAATCTTCAGTACACAGGACTGGATTTATCAAGACTGCCATACAGTAATCATCGTAAAGCCACAGGACAAAGATATCCTTCAAGACTGCTGATTCACCTTTTCATCCTTCCATTTTAGGGACAGAGAATTTTTATATGAACTTACCTCTTGGAATGGATTTTTGTTCCTTGGAACTGAGCTGTAAGAAAAAACAAAAAAATCCCATACTGAAAATTTCACCCAAAGCTTTTCTTAAGGATAAAAAGGCATGGGAAATACATATATATACACACACATGCATTTTTATCTGTGTATTTACAATTCTTCTTAAGTGGGATTCAGAGAACAAGCTAGATGAGGTACATATCTCAGTGTCTAAAAGAGAATGAGGCAACCTGTTGACTTTAAAATTCTAGAAGACTGGGAGGGAATAGGAAAATGGAGCATTAGTAGTTCCCACGAGGAGTGGAAATCTGGGTATAAGGTAAATTGATAAAATATATGCTCTAGTGGTGCGTGAAAGTCACTCAGTTATGTCTGACTCTTTGCGACCCCATGGACTATACTGGAGTGGGTAGCCTATCCCTTCTCAGCAGATCTTTCAGACTCAGGAATTGAACTGGGGTCTCCTGCATTGCAGGCAGATTCTTTACCAACTGAGCTACCAGGGAAGCCCACTTTAGTGGTAAATTATGTGCAAGTTTTATCATACTGGGAAGATTTTAGTTTGTGGGTATCTACATTTGTGAAAAAACTATGCAGACACATGTATGTCAAGGATAACAATTTAGGAAGGAAAGGGGGGATGAAAGAAGGGATCTGTATTTTTCTGTAACTTCTTTGTATATTAATATTTATTTCAAAAATACTTGGTATCTAAGAGATCTTTTAATAAAGATATTTGCAAAGCTTTTGTGGGTCAAATATATATTTGTTTTGAGTGCTAAAATAGGCTACACAAACAAAGATAACTTAGGTTTTCCTCACAAGCCATTTTTGAAAATCTCAACCAAGGGGAAAGAGCTATTATAACTGCTCAATGATTCAGCGACTGATTCCACAGTTCCATCTTTCCCCCATTTCTGTGACCTCGGTGAAAATTCCAGAAAAGGGGCCAGGAGCTGCCTAACGCCTCATATGTTTTCACTTCCTTCTAGAGTGCTTTAAGTTCGTCTAAGAGCAGACATGAGGAGAGGTGAGACTTACGAGAGCACTGCACTACCAGTTATTAAAAACCAAGATCTGATTGTGATGAGAGCTCAGGAGAAAGCTGAGTCTATTAAAAATGAAACTGTGTTTCTGTGTCTTACCAACATTCCTAATATTCCTTCTCATTATCATGAATAAACTATATATAGCAAAGACTGAAAGAATTTCTCATAAGTTTCTAAGAAGCAAAATGTATCTACTGATAGGAATATAAGGAATGAAAAAAATGTAAGCTTGAGAACATCAAACGTGTTGTGAACCCACCATTTAAAAGTGTACAATAAGTGGTGGTTAGTATATTTATAGAGTTGTACAACCATTACCACTGTCTGATTTTAGAACACTTTAATCACCCACCAAAGAAGCCCCATACCCCTCAGTGTCACTCCTCCTCCTCTTCCTTCTCTAATTTATTCTTTTGTCAAATTCTTTCCTACCAGCTGCAGCTGCTATCAGCAGCTTCTTTCGCAATGCCAGTATTATTTCTGGTTAAGTTCAGAAAAGAGAATAAACTTTTATGTTTCCAAAGTAATCTAATAATCAATTTTTTAGTGACTATATTATCTGATCTGACTATCTACAAAGATTTGAAAGCTTGGGATAAATCAAATTTTGAAAGATCCCAAATATAAGGTATAGACAATACAGAAGCTTCACCCAAGTTTTGGTGCTAAAGACCATCCCTCCATGAAGGTTTTTTTCTCTGCTAATTTTATCCTTCTTTCTGTATTTTATACACTATTATCAAACCACTAGAATTAAGTTAATATCTTACCACACCACGTTTGTCACAAAATACAGAAATTATTTGCAGAATGTTTCACTGCCAAAAAGAAGGATTCACAGCAATGGTCCCCAGGGGCATAGACTGTATGGTTGAGTTAAATAAAAAACCAACAACTGGTATCCAACATAAAGCTCTCATCTTTTTCATTTGGTCCAAAATAATTATTCATTCAAAAGCACACAAATTATCCAAAATCTCCTTTTCTACACATAAGATTGTAATACCCTCATCATTTCATTAAAAACAGGCATCTAAAGTACTTTTTTTCTGTATATATACTTGGAAGGAAAAGCATCAACATGTTAAGTATAATTACCAGTGATTACTTCTGGATAAAGAGATTCTACATATTATTTACTTACTAGTTTTCTATACAGTTTGAATTTTTAATAATAAGCAATTACTGATTTATAACAAAAAAATCAATAAAAGTTATTTCCAATTCTTGGTGGGAATGAGGAAACATACAACAAATTACACAAGAGCTGCTTACCTGTCATTGCCCCGTAGCATTTTGGGATCAAAATACCTATAGTCATCAGTTTCCTATTTAAAAAAATAGAGAACTTTACCATGACTATGGAATTTCTCTTAGAATATCATCTTTGAGGTAGTTGTTATTATCCATGTTTTTCAGATGGGCAAACTGGGATACAGAGGGTTTATCTAACTTTCCTAAAGTCTTATGACAAATGTGGAAACTCCAGATCTGAACCCAGGCAGTCTAGTTTCAATGCCCCAGCACTTAACCACTATGCATGCTGCTTCTCAAATGTATACCTGTTATTACATAGAAAACAAACTATGGTTATTACCAAGGGGAGGTGGGGGTAATAGATAAATTAGTAGTTTAGGATTAACATATACACACTAATATATATAAATTAATAAAAAACTTGTATAGCACAGGGAACTATACTTAATAATTGAGAAAAATAAATATACCTGTTTTATAAGCTAATGCACTTAAGTATTTTTGCTTTTAGAATTTTATTACATTATTATATGTCCATGATTTTATTGACTGTGCAGAGTACCTAATACAGGTTCAAATCTTTTATAATTGAAACCTCTGGAGTTAAACATATATTTTGGAATTTTGAATTTAAAAAACTGTAGATAGATAATATCACGCATAACAACTGTATATAATGTAGTATTCCCAGTGGGCAGCACCCCATCTAACATGGTAATGTTTCTGCAGCTAAACAAATGAATATTAACATAAAGTACGATAAACTATAAAAACCTCAATATGAGTTAAGGTTAGGTTTTGCCACCAAATGAGTTATACAAAATCTTTTTGGATTTCAGAGGTTGTGGATAAGGGGTTGCTGGCCTCTATACTACATA